CACTCACCGAGCGACGGGGCGGCACTCACCACCATAACTCTAGCAGCAGACTGATGCCACTCTTCTTTCTTCTCAGGCTTCGACCAGCAGATCGCAGGCAGCAAATCAAAGGCAGACGCTGCCATCAAGCGTCTCCCTGACATCAAGACCACCATCCAGCAGGCTGCTGGCAATAATATTGCAACGCTGTCCATCCTGGGAGATGTTCAGGACAGTTATGATGACGCCCAGGAAAACATCAACAAGCTCGGGGACATGGTCACTGGTCTGGAGGTAGCATGAATACTGTACTACTTTATGACGCATTCTTTATGTTGGAAATGATAAAACAGGCGAGACGTCAGGGACAAGTTTACGTTTGTTGAAGAAACCAGCTGTAGAAGTTACTCTTTTTTAAACAAATGTGTTTGATTGGTTATTTTTTAAGTTGAACGGAGACTTTTGTTAAACTGCTCTTTTGTCTTTACCCTTCAGAGAGAATTTGCATCTTTGCCGGCTCATGACAACATACTGGAAGAAGCGACCAAACTGAACAGAGAGGCGACTAACCTGAAAACAACGGCGGGAGGCGTTGTTGGAGATCTGGCCTCCGAGCTGGAGAAAGCTGAAAACCTGCATGCTGACGCCCAGGAGGTAAACTGACCACACTGAAGTAACCTGTCACAGACGCACTCGTATAAAACGATGGACACGGGGTTAAAGATGTCAATGTTTCCCCTGCAGGCGTCTTTGGGAGCGGGTGGAGCTTACAACAACGCCAGGCTGGTCGGAGAGGAAGTGCAGAAAACTCTGCGAGAGGTCCAGGGTCTGCTGGCTAAAACCAGTACGTACACTTTTTATCGGACTCACACTTTGGGATTTTAACCTTGGCTGAAGTCCTGTTTCATTTATGAATTTGCAACACGTTGCTTTTTATCTCCAAAAGTTGATTCTGTTCATCTGGACGTAGCGTTTGTGGGAAACGCTGCGTCCAGATGAACAATTACTTTCCTGGATGATTGAGAACGTTGCTTTTTAATCTGGTCAGCTTCACAATCTCCTGAAAGGCCTGAGTGCCCTCCTGAGACAGCACGAGCTGCTTCCTCACCGCGTCTACTCTGTTTTCTCAGACCAGTCCAGTCCTGTGGATTTAAAAAAGGTGAAGCAGCTGGAGGACTCGTTGGCCGGTGCTAAGAAAGCTGTGGAGGACAATTTGAGCCCCCGACTCAGGAACATGGAGGAGCAGGAGGCCGCACACATGCGCCAGCTCAACTCGATCAACCGCGACATCGACACCATCCTGGCAGACATCGCTAACCTCAAGGAGATCCTGGCATCCATCCCCAAAGGCTGCTACAACAGCCCACCCAACGAGAAGCCCTAAAGCGTGACCCGACTTACTGCCAGCGGACATCGCTTTGTGTTTTTGCACTTTTCAACTACTGACAACCTTCTTTTTGTCTGTAATACATAAAAATATTGAATCATTTAGAATCCATATCTACCGTGCTAACTCGTTTCTAAACATCTGAGTTTGAATCTTGCTTTTTAAAATTTAAAGACGAATCACCTCCGATGTTTTCATTCATTTGTCCCTAAATCTAAACTGTACGACACCTTAAACTCATCACATATAAGACATGTGCTCCTTAAACATTATTTTTCTCTATTAAATGATTTTGTCTAAATCATTCAGTTTGTAGTAAAACGATTAATGCACTGCTGTTTCCTTCTACGCTCAGAGGGAGTATCTGCTGTTTCTGTATGTGAATATATGTATTTATAACTGTACATACACCATCGTTTTTAAACCTTCTTGAACTCAGTGTTTTTACCGAGTCTGAACACCAAGAATATTTATATGAAAATAAAAGATAAAAGTTCTGACATTTAAAACATGTTTCACTTCATTATTCATCACTTCTTAGATTTATGTAGCTGGTATTTCTGTGTGTGGGTCAAACAGACCGGATGCTGAGCAGGATGAAATGAGCCCGTCTGAGTCAGAGAGGCTGAGGTGCTTTAGTCAAAGAAATATTTTATTTTGGCAGCAGCGAGGTGTGAAGGTAACCACAGCTTTGAATCAGTTCAGAAGCAGAGCGGCGATGTGGACACGAACACAG